TGAAAGGACCAATGTCCGTGTTTGGTATTTCATGGAACCAATAAACATAAGCAAGGACAAGTGCTACGAACACGCTATGCTCCTGGCGTTAAATTTCACCGTTCTGCACAAGTAGGTCACCGACGACCTTGATCTGTATCATGTAAAGTCACTTTGATCAATTTGTCTTTCGAGTTCAATATGGCCGTCTTGATGGGCCGTACACGAGCTAGTTTTGTTATTAACCAGCTGTAAAAAAAACATCTGTAACTCAGTCGGATCTGTCATGTGAGTAACTCGCGGCGGAAAATGTTGACGTTAATCCATCGTGGTAACTTACACTTGGGAAATGACATCCGACTTTGCGAGCCGGCTTCTGAGAAGGCTGTCAGAGGTTAGGATTGATTGACACCAAATTAACCGGACATATTGTTTCATGTGAATTGGACAGGAATGTATTCTGACATTTGGTGATGTGAAATATTACGTCTTTGAGCGAAAATTCAATTATGTCACGACGTGTTAACTTTGTGCCGGAGCAATCGGCAGATTTCGCTGTCCATAAATGTTTAGTGAAACTAGCATTGGTTTGGGACTGACAGAGGAAGGTCACAATTTGCGTGAATCTGGAATTCGAACCCATAACTGCAGATGCTTACAAAACCAAGGGGGGCAACCATTCACCATTGAACAATGGTCTCCGTGGTCGAGAATAGACCATTTAGCTCTATATGCCACTACTGCTACTACTACTACTACTGCTGCTACTACTACTACTACTACTACTACTACTGCTACTGCTACTGCTGCTGCCGCTACTAATGCTACTGCTGCTGCTGCTACTACTTCTGCGGCTGCTACAGTTACTTCTTTTACTAGTGCTATTTCTGCTACTACTACTACTACTACTGCTACTGCTGCTGCTACTACTACTGCTGCTACTACTTCTGCTGCTACTATTACTGCTGCTGCTGCTACTACTGCTACTGCCGCTGCTGCTACTACTGCTACTGCTGCTGCTGGTACTACAACTGCGGCTGCTACAGTTACTTCTTTTACTACTGCTACTAGTGCTATTCTGCTACTACTACTACTACTGCTACTACTGTTGCTCCTACTGCTACTTGTACTACTACTTCTGCTACTACTAATTCTACCACTTCTGCTGCTGCTACATCTACCACTACTACAGGATTCGAGACATCACCATATGGTCCATCCTCGATAGTCTCCAGGGTATACGTTACGATCACTCTACACTATACCCTCGATGCATCCACGGCTTGGCCCGATGATTTTATTACCTCCCTTTGTTGGCTTTTTATCCAATCAAGTGTCTACGCTGGGAAGTTGAGCGAACCAATCACAACTCACTTTCGCTTCAAATTATCAAACCGTTTAAACTTGGCAACACAATTGATGCAGAGGTACTCTGAAAGAGGTAGAAGGAGTTCTTTCATATATTTTTATAAAGTTTCAGATCTGTCAATTTGTCTGTATGATTTCCCCAAAAAATATGAGTGGCACTGCGAACAAACCTTCCGACTGCGACCGCTATCTTTGTTGACACTGGCAAGCTCGGATGTAACATCGGGTTAGCTGATTGGCTATTGTGAGAATGCGGAGCCAGCAAAGGGAGGTAATATAATTATCGGGCCAAGCCGTGGATGAATGAATCCAGGGTATAGTGGGGAGTGATCGTAAGGTATACCCTGGAGATTATCGAGGGTGCATATGGTCAGTCAGCATAACAACTGTGTCCATAACCAGAAAGGACTGCAGCCACCAGATCTCCAAGAAATGCTCCAGTAAAGCCAGAAAGCCATTACACTGATGCAAGAGTATTACGTACTACGAGGTATTCGTAGTGCTTGTGTTTGGAAGTATCTCAACACATCCTATACATCCTTATCGGACACACTTAGAATGTTCTCGTACAAACCCAAGTTCTGAGCTCCATCCCTCATTGAAGTAGAACCGTTTGGTGATAAACGTTTCCTAATGTAACTGTATCAGATCGGTCGTGAAACCAGATGATGAGGGCTTCTTACCACCTCTCTGGACGGGAAGCATCCTCTTAAATAGCCCAACTTGATCACCAGGCTGTATAAGTGTATGTCCGGTTTAATCAGGTGGCACGATTACGCAGTTCACGTAAGGCATAGGTCACATATTCGGATAACCAATGTCCACATAGAACCAATGTCCACATAGGACCAATGTCCATCCACACATACACCCTACGCCCTCCACCATAGCGCTTGAGTAGCTACCATTTCTAATTAATACCATGTACTGCAAAGATCCGTTTTATATTTGCAACTTTAACAAAATCGGCTCCGTTTCCAGTATGTTTGGTTTGGTGGTTGTTTAACGCCGTACTCGCAATATTCCAGCTATATGGCTGCGGTCTGTAAATAATGGAGTCTGGGCCAGACAATCCAGTGATCAACAGCATGAACATCTACGCAATTGGTATACGATGACATGTGTCTACAAAGTCAGTGAGCCTGACCACCCGATCCCGTAAGTCGCCTCTGACGACAAGCATGGGTTACTGCAGACCACTTCTAACCCGGATCTTCACGGGTCTCAGATTTAATACTATAACATCTTATCACACACGAGAGAAAAAGCAGAATAACGGTACAATTACGCATTAAGCACATCTGACCTGATCCGTTACCGTTCAAATCATAATTTGAATATGTAGTACGACCCCTATCACAGGCTCGAAAGTTATTAAATTAAAAAAATGTAACAGTAATAGTTTGCTAACGGTACAATACGAGAGGCACGGCTGACATCAAGTTCACGCAGGTTATTGTTAACGTAATGGATACTATTCAAGTAATCTTAATGTTTATGTTCTCTGAAAGGTTATCTGGGAGGTACCAGCTCGAGACACTAGTTCATTAATATGCATGGGAGGGCTTGATAAACGTAAATGTATTTAGATAATTCCCACTTGCCTAAAAGCAATGAATATTTTATATTTATCGAGAGCGCTAAGTAACATTTTTTTCTAAATTCGATTACATATGTGTTAGTGGGATATACAGCCGACTATCACTATTACAGACTCATTATATACCATCACAATGCATTACGTTAACCTTTGTATAATGTGTTCTTTAATTAATGTAATTAATGGTTATCACATGCGTGTCTATTATCGGAATGGGGTGTTGCCAAGACGATATTAATACATGCGGTATAAGCATTCCAAGACTAACCTGAGATGAATGTGCTCTTCATGATTGTGAATAGTAAGCACAGACTATGAAAATCTTTTTCATTGTGAAATAATATCTTAACACTCCTGTGACAGTCTGGGGCGGTGGGGTAGCCTAGTGGTTAAGGCGTTCGCTCGTCACGCTGAAGACCCGGGTTCGATTCCCCAGATGGGTACAATGTGTGAAGCTCATTTCTGGTGTCCCCGCCGTGATATTGCTGGAATATTGGCGTAATACTAAACTCACTCACTCACTGTGACAGACTTTCGGTGTTTCGGTTCTAGTAAACGTCCTCACCCTCAGGCAAAGGTCTATGGTATGGGATGGCCGGGTGGTTTAAGCATGTCGTCACGCCAAGTGAGTGAGTGAGTTTAGTTTTACGCCGCTTTTAGCAATATTCCAGCAATATCATGGAGGGGGACACCAGAAATGGGCTTCACACATTGTACCCATGTCGGGAATCGAACCCGGGTCTTCAGCGTGACGAGCGAACGCTTTAACCACTAGGCTACCCTACCGCCCTCGTCACACAAGGGCCAGGTTTCAATTCATCATTTGGTTTCAATGTTTGCAACCCATTCATGAAATCCCAAGCCACTATAATTAGCCTAAAACCAAACAAAAAATCTGCATAATTAGGCACACACAGAACGTGACACGAGTACAATTTCATCCCGTCCCCACGTCCTCTGGCTTGTGATTGGACCAGGTTGCCAGAACCACGACACAAATCTGGCGACCATGATACTAATGTGTCAATGCTGTTTCCTGCGAAATGCAGCTGTGGTTTTGCTGTCCCCTCCTAACAATAACGACAGCAGATCTCCAACAGTTTAATGGTTAACTTAGGCTATATGAGATTTCTTTTTAATTTCTGCTTATTCTTGTTCGTTCACTCCGTTAAACCGGAAGCTGGCAGGGGTAATGGAAGCGCAGAACGATCTGTTATGCCACGAGTGGCGCTTATAATGTTGAATTAAAATACATTGTACGTGAGTAATTATTAAATATGAGGTTGGGGATCTGAGAGCACAACCCTGTGAGGAAATGGGTGTCTGCCTGTGATGAAGACGATATTTTATTTTGATATTAAAAATATTTTTCGAACCGAATCGAGGGAGGTACGTTGCCAGCCTTTGCTTGCTTCGCTTGCATAAAGGAAGACTGGTCATTTTTCTCTTTGTTGCGCAATTCTATTTGCGCTACAGTTTGCCTGTGCGTCGATATATTTAACTGTTTGGTACGCGCCATGACCCAATCAAAACGTACAGCTGTATTCGTGATGTCACCCATCAAAATCTACATCTAGATCTGTCCATCGTCAAAATATACGACAGCTTCAAGCATGTGATGACCCCGTCAAAACAAAAAGCTGTACTCGTGATGTCACCCGTCAACATAACAGTACAGCTGTGTACAATCCTCTTGAAGCGGAGCGGTAAGATAGCCTAGTGGTTAAAGCGTTCGCCCGTCACGCCGAAGACCCGGGTTCGATTCCCCACATAGGTACAATGTGTGAAGCCCATTTCTGGTGTCCCCTGCCGGGATATTGCTGGAATATTGCTAAAACGGCGTAAAACCTAACTCACTCACTCCTCCAGAAGCGGCGGACAAGTCCAAACACAGGCCCGCTTCATAAGAAACATGAAACATAGTCGCCATCCGATTCCCCAGCGATATTCACCTCTCTCTATGTCCAAACAACGCTAAGACTGTCGTTGTTTTCGCAATCAATCAATTTCTGTGGTTATATTTTTGATCATTAAAAAACTATTTTTGTTTCAGCTCTCACGGTGCGTTACTTGACCCGAAGATTCATAGGAGAATACTGTCCAACATTAGGTAAGGCATGCAAGTCTGTCTTCTAAGAATTCTATTTCGTCATTCGATGTTGTCGCAAAAACCAATTTCAATTAGTGCCTTTGTAAATGTCATCAAAAATCGATATCCAGCCTCTTGTTCGCAATGGGGATACAATACTTGGGGCAGGCGATGTCCCCTAACTAAGCCAAACATCATTCCTGACAAGAAATATCGGTATTTTCTCCGTTGCTGTGAGTATTGCTCTGTTCAGCATTCTTATCGATCTAATAACAGACATTTTTGCTGAAATCAGATTACGAACACCGGATACAAAATAATAATTTCGACTATTCTACTCCGACTAAAACTAAAAACATGTTTGTGACGTCACGTGGCCCTTTACCTTATAAGGAGATCAATATTGTGTCTGTAACAACCGGCGGAGAGATTGGTTTTACAAGCGTGATAAGCAGAAGGAAACAGACGGATAATCCTCCGTAAACTGTCTCGTGTAAATGTCGCTGTAGAATTACGGACAGGTATAGTTTCTCGTCGTAAAGGGGCGGTGGGGTGGCCTAATGATTAAAGCGTCCGCTCATCACGCTGAAGGCCCGGGTTCGATTCTCCACATGGGTTCAATGTGTGAAGCCCATTTCTGGTGTCCCCCGCCGTGATATTGCTGCGGTATTGCTAAAAGCGGCGTAAGACCATTCTCACTCACTTTCGTCGTAAGTTGTTAACGAAAGTCACATATAATGTGCGTTTGTGAAGATTATAACTCCGTGTTCTATTTATGACATGAATATAATTTAATCTAACATAGACGAATGTATATGGAGTTCAGTCTGAAACATCTAATATGTCACAACGCACAGTGAATGTATATGGAGTTTAATCTGAAACATCTAATATGTCACAACGCACAGTGAATGTTGATGGTTGTTTGAGAAATTCTTACGAGTTCAAACGTCATCTATTTCATGGGGCTACGAAAGGCCAACCGAAAAACGCACCCAATAAATAATATAAAAAAAGAATTTCGTAGTAGTATTTATGCTTTTTTTACGGTTGCATTGATTCGACTTCTTTCATATCTCACTGATATATTATTATACCCCCGCTACGAAGTAACGGGGGTATATAGCGTTCGTTCTGTCCGTCCGTCCGTCCCGAAACTTTGTCCGGAGCATATCTCTTAAAGTTTACATGCTAGGTTCACCAAACTTCACACACATGTTAATCATTACCCATTGATGTGCCTTTTGCTATTTTAAAGTTTTTTCAGAATTTTGGTTTTTTTGGCTGTTTCAATGGAAACACGACTTAGTGCCAAATGTGTTTGATAATAATAATAATAATAATAATAATAATAATAACTTGTTTCGCACATGTCATCGTATCCCAATTGTGTATATCGATGCTCATGATGCTGATCACTGGGTTGTCTGGCCCAGCTTCGATTATTTACAGACCGCCACCATATAGCGGGAACATTGCTGAGTGCGACTTTGAAAAACAAACCAACAAACCCAATAGTAGCCGTTCTTACTTTTGGCGAGGTTCCATTTTCGCACTTGATGCCGTTTTCGCTTGGAGAGGTTTAGCGATTCAGCTATAACCCTTGTTTACGTACGAACATTAAGCGCCCAATAAAGATTTACTACCGGCTTACGTAATGTCAACAGTGGGTGGATCTCTTAACGACTAATACTGTATATTCACGATTAAAGGTCTCAGACAATGTTCACTTCCGTTTACTGTTCTCCTCTGTCAATATTAGATGTGGGATCTATTTTAGAGATCTGAGCCTCATTCCACGCAGTGATCGCTGTGTTGAAGGCGATGTTACATCTATTTTAAGAGCTACGATCGCTCAGTCTTAAGGGGTCCTGACCTTGAGTGAGTGAGTATGGTTTTAGGCCGCTTTTAGCAATATTCCAGCAATATCACGGCGGAAACACAAAAAAATGGGTTTCACACATTGTATCCATGTGGGGATTCGAACCCGGGTCTTCGGCGTGACGAGCAAACGCTTTAACCACTAGACTATCCCACCGCCCTGATATAGCGAACTTAGCAATACTAAGGTATTCATATAAAATGGAGAGAAATAGTTTTGTGTGTTGGCTCGCTCTTATATCAGCTTATTTGTTTGTTATCGCTGTACTCAACAGTATTCCTGTGTTTCCCATCTCCCGGTCGCCCTGAATGTTCATTTCGACGTGAAATAATAAAATGTTTTCTAATCTCAAACCCCGCCGCTGTGCAAGTTTATGCCCTGGTGCAATATAGAATATACTCTTACCTTTCCACACTTGGAGGGAAACCAGATCAGCTTGATCTCTCCTCATCTATAGATATTTAAAGACTGTTTCCGTAGCAAAACGATAAAAAAAATTCATCTACGTCATAAATATGTTTATAGCCTATTTCCAAGTGATCTAAATTGTATAATGTCATAAAACAAGTTACACAATTAGTGAAAAATGGTTTATTCCTTTTTTTTGTACTTTCTTCACCCGACGGTTATCTTGCTGGTTGGGGTCAGGGATGAAATACACGTAAAACATACGACTGGTTCAATATAACGTGATTGTCAATTTGCGTGTGCACCTGTACTGCTTGTGAGAACTCGGTAAGCTTTGTAAATGTAAGGTTTGTGTTTCAGAGAGTGTTTACAAATACCACACACGTATTGATGAAGATGACGTCAAGCTGGAGATACTCGACACTGCCGGACAGGTGAGCTTCTGTTGCTTGTCGATATCACAAGAAAAGGAACAAAAATAAGTGTTGTCTTAACATTCACCGAATACTCTTCCACCTTAGCTGAATTTAGTTAATTACGTCTTACTGAGGAATGTTTTGGTACTCTTTCCTATTTTTAAAATTATGTGTAGTTGCTGTTTGCTTGAGGAGAGAGAGACAGACAGACAGACAGACAGAGAGAGAGAGAGTGTGTGTGTGTGTGTGTGTGTGAAAGAAACAGAAAGAGAATGAGAAACAGAGTGAGTGAGTTTAGTTTGACGCCGCTTTTGGCAATATTCCAGCAATATCACGGCGGGGGACACCAGAACTGAGCATCACACAATGTGCCCATGTGGCCAGAGAGGGAGTAGAGAGATAGAGAGGATGAGGGAGAGAGAGAGACAGAAAGAGAGGGGGGGAGAGAGCGAGTGGTAGAGAGACAGAAGGGGACTGAGAGGAAGAGAGGGGGTTGAGAGAGAGAGAGCGAAAAACAGAGAGATAAAAAACAGCGACAGAAAAACAGAGAGGTGAGGTGAAATTGGGTTAAACGTCGTACTTGAGAATATTTCGCTCATATGACGACGTGTATGCGTGTGTATGTGTATGTGCGGCTGCTTGTGCTAGCCCAGACTGAAGCTGGTTTTATAGTGCTAACCCACTGAGATACCATGCCGCAGTGAAGCATGAATACCCCACTCAGACACATTATACTGACTCCGAGCCGACCAGTCCTTGTTGTACCCATTAATGCCGAGCGCCAGGCAGGGACCAACAAGTACCATATTTTTATGTCTTTTGGTATGACGCGGTCGGGGATCGAACCCGCGACCTTCCGCTCTCCGGGCGGACGCTCTAACCACTACACCACGGAGGCGGCCTAAAACAGAGAGAGAGTTAGTGAGATAGAGAATTCGGACTCTGCCAACAATACACTGAATACTATAGATGAGCTGGTGTTAAAGTATACATAACTCATCTCAACATTTCAGTTTAAACTTTTAGAGGCGCACACATTTATCACAACCGATGGTGGTGGCAAGGAGCAATAACACAGTTCTCTTAATTTGCAAATAATCAAAGTAAAGAACTACACCTTGAGTCACTTAACCCGATATTCCCTCTCTATGCTGACACGCCATGTTGCATCGGTCACGTGAGTAAATCCAATCTCTCATTTTGCTCGTTGTTATTCCAGATACGTGCTGAGTGGAAGGATGGCTATGCACTATGGGCAGACAGTTTTATATTCGTATATTCCATAACAGATCGAAACTCTTTCAACGAAATTACACGAATCAAGAAAAGCGTGGAAAACGCTCGGAAATCATCGACTCTCGCCGGCATTCTGGTCGGAAACAAGAACGATCTCCTACACGACCGTCAAGTTTCCGAGATCGAAGGTCAAGAACTTGCCGACGAGTTAGGATGCAGGTTTTATGAGGTCTCGGCCGCTGATTGGACGCAAGTGGAAGTTATTCAAGACGTTTTCAGAGACATGTACAGAGAGTTTAAACGGTCAAGGTCACTCAAAGATGGCCGCCAGCGAAAGACAAGCTCCTCTCAAAGGTTCAAACAGGCTATTCAGAAGGTGATCACGGGAAAATCGAACAATAATAAACGCACAGCGACGATGTGACAACGATAGAAACTGGTGGTGGATGTTGTTAAAGTATATCTGTGATTGTGTGCGTGATTCCTGCTGATTCGATGGAAATATGAAGCAAGATGTACTCGGCTGCATCTTGCTGCATATATGGATTAATTTCAATATGGTGGAATGGTCGGGGAAATAATTTATTGGTTATTTCATTGTTCGATATTTAAATGTTGAATGACCACTGAACATGGGCATCAGACGACTCAACGAAATCATGATCTCACAATGTTACAATGGGACAACACGTAGGCGACCGGAGGATATGTTTAATTAGAGCATCACGTGGAGCCAGGTTCTTTGCGAAGCAGTCGCCGGAAACCAGTCCCGCGGAACCTTCACCCAGTTTGGTGACTCCAGATAATACTGCGGTACGTAAACAAGAATATTGCTCCTGTCAACATAGATATCAAAACATGTAAACTGACTGACTAAGTTTGGTTTTATGCCGCTTTTAGCAATATTCCAGCAACATCACGGCGGGGGACACCAGAAATGGGCTTCACACATTGTACCCATGTGGGGATTCGAACCCGGGTCTTCGGCGTGAGGAGCCAACGCTTTAACCATTAGGCTACCCCACCGCCCCTGTAAACAGTCATACTAGAATCACATAGGGATGATCATGCACTGTCTTCTGGCTGAAGCGTTTCTCGCCTATTTCCCCCAAACAAGGCAATGATCATTATTGAAGCTAGTTCGTTGATCCTCAAGCCGTCATATGGCTTTAGTGAAGTATCAGCATTACTAAACCTTTCTTATTTCTGCATTCTGGCTTTTTTTCAACATTAGAAAAAATAGTGGTAATTAATATCAAATGTTGAAATAGGTTACATGGTAAAGGATATGTCGGAATGTGATAGCCAGAACAATGATATATGCGAGAACTGGTGAACCATTTATGCGGCTACGATTTTTCACTTAGAACTGATCGATCAATGTCAAACACACTTGCGATCTTCCTGTTCATATACTGAGGCAAACAAATAAGGGAACACCGGTACCACGGCAATGTTCCTTTATTTATTCTCAGATTTCCTCCCACAGGGCTATTCAAAGCTTGTGATGAAACCTGGAAAATATTAAAGGAACACTCGAATTTTCCTGTGTTCCTTTATTCGTTTCTCTCAGTCAGCGTTCGAAATTAACGTCGATCCTTAGGCCGAAACTGGAAACCACTCGGACCCACAGCTTTTGTTTTCTGCAGGTCCTTATGGCCGACAGCTTAAATTAAACTCTTTAACTCAGTTTGTCAGTTGTCACATTTTATATTTGCTGGCAATTACTTATATTGTAGCTGTAGGGTCACATTCTGATTCTGATCAGGACCCACAACTTGTTATGGTTCTCGGTCCTACTGCCAGTCGTAGCGGCCTGCAGCTGGGTCCTTTCAGGGGTAAGGGCAAACACTCAGTATATATTCACGCATTTCGCCAACTGTAGTGGATGTCATGCAGCTTGCGGGTAGTCTGTAGAGAATCGGACAATTACTTACAACAGTGAAACGATGCCTCGAATGAACCTGAAATATTTACTTGGACAAATAATCACAGCATGTGAGGAAATCAGCTACACAGCTTGGAATTCTAACCGTGTCTGACGGCAGGCAATAACTTGGGATCGCGAATTTGGGGCGATTTGCATACCTGGAGGAGCGTCACAGAGTGATATGAAATAATTTCTGATTGATGTGAATGGAGTATTACTTATTATTTGATACAGCAGTGCACATTTAGTGAGTGCGTTTTATTTTACGCCGCACTCAGCAATATTCCAGCTTTGTGACGGCGGTCTGTTAATAGTCGAGTCTGGACCAGACATTCCAGTGATCAGCAGCATGAGCATCGATCTACGCACATGTTAGACTTATATATGTACAATATTAATGATTGCTCTATAATTCACATGTATGATACGGAACATGTTATACTAACATTATACCCAAAAGAATTAATTGAAGGAACATCAAAAGATACTACCGGAAATTCTGCGACAGAAACTGATTTTGAAAGTTAAGATGGTGATATTATTTATTTTGCTGTTTCAGGATGAAAACAGAAGACCACACCTAACGCCGATTCAAGATGGCCGCCATTTTCATACGCTTAGCCTCCGAAAATATATGATTTTGATAAAAAAAAATATTTCCATTTAAAATGGAAATTGATTCAGTGAAATGGGAGTTTCAGAAATCTGAGTAAAATGTATTTATTGCTCTTGCGTCACAGAAAGGGCTGTCCGGATGGGGAAAGGGATGGTTCAAGATTAAGAGACAGTCTACCATCTACAATTCGTGTGGTCTATCTTATATCCGTGCGTATTTGTCAACTTTTCCTGGAGTTTCGGAGGTAATATCACGACACTTATGCAGCCGCTTCCGTAAGGATGGATATGCTGGTAGTAAGGTGTTTACTGCGCATGCGTGGAACCTCCTGACAAAGATGGCGGACTTTCCGGACGTAATGTCTTCATCCTTCGTGAGACATTTACTGTGTTGTTACGCCAATACGTCACGGATTATTAAAATGTGTTACGTTAAGGAAAAATGACCGGCGTCTGGAAATATACAGCGGAACCTCCTTTATACGGACCTTGTTAAACCAGACACCCAACCATCAGTGGTGGACAATGTTGAGAATACGGTTATCTCTGTATTCTGTTCTTTTAACGTACGAAATGGATGGGTATCCGTCCAAGTGCTCCTCAATATTCGTTAATTGTCATGAAGATTATACTGATTTCATCCCAAATACCTATGTGTATATATCGAAAGTGTTATCTGGTGTAAATATGGGGCAATGTTTGTACACTGTATATTGTCTGTTTTTTATGAGGGAAGGTAAGCGGTCTTGTCTTCCATGGTTAACAAGCATTGTACCATCCTTCGACATATTGTAAATGAAGGCAGCGTCATGAACGCCTGTCTTTGCCACCGACATCGACTGGAACAGTAGATGTTGTGTTTTAGTGTATATTTCTGTCACGTCCACTTTTTGGTCAGCCATGCATCCGCTGATCACATCAATCAAAATACGAACTGTAATGCACAGAATATTTCACATCGATGATTCACAAATGTGTATTATGTTTCTTTCACAGAAAATGAAAACACTCATTGCAAAACTTTATTTAGCACTGATTCTTTGGTAACATGAAGTCCGATCATGAATTTTACATGTTTCTTTTTGAGGACACCTTGAATAGATGTATATTTCGTTACAATTAGCATATGACAACGACATATCCGTATTTGATGTTGATTGCTTTCCTGCAAGTGAATAGAGGTCTTCTCGACAGTGAGTGAGTGAGTTTAGTTTTACGCCGCTTTTAGCACTATTCCCGCAATATCAAGGCGGGGGACACCAGACATGGGCTTCACACATTGTACCCATGTGGGAACTCGAACCCGGGTTTTCGGCGTGACGGGAGAAAGCTTTAACCACTTGACTACTCTTCTCGACAGTGAATAGTGCTCTACCTGGATGGTGCTGTGTAAACTATTTACTAGTATATATATCTATAATCATGTTACTTATTAAGCATGAACTCAAAAGGAAAAATGATAACTTTTTATTATAGTATTATAATTTCATATTTTCTGTATATATATGGTTTAAGTAAACTAAGGAAATCTCCCTTATTTTAATCATAATATCATTTTCCCACAGAAATTAGTTGTTTAAACGTAATAACAGGACATCATGTCTGTGACTACGTTTCTTTGGATACTGATTTCCACAGAATTGTTATCTAAATAAATATTGCCTGTAAATTGTGGCATTTCGGTGTGACTGAATTGTTAAGCGGTTTAACCTAGATGCGTTTCATGGCATTTTGTGCGCTGTCTTGGTTAACATTAATTTATTCTTTCTTTTCATATATTCGAAATTATCAACAACAAAATATTGATCAGCCTAGGAATTATGTTTTGATAATCACTGTGTTAGTAATTTGTAGTAATCTTCTTGAAAAGTGCGTTCCGAAATAATCAGATGCATGAAGATCTGCTAACTCAGAATGGACATATCGACTCGAATATTCTACGCTGAACACACCACGCCCATTTAGCGTTGAGGTACGTTTCTAATTGTTCAATATTTTCACGTTGAGTTCTGATTGCTAAGTTTCCATCACACGCAACACGTGTTGGTCCGCTGTCTCGAGCTCTTGTTATGTGGCCAGTCAGACATCTTGGGCGTCTCGTCCAAATGATAACTCGTCCAATCTATTGCTATCAGTGCTGGTAAGTGTTGATACGAGGCCGAATTTTCGAACTACATTTATGTATATGTTTAGCGTTCATAGACACTGAATCCTCACATTTCAAAGTCCGAGATGAGTCTACCATACTACCATAACACAGGCCATTATTTTTGCTGTCTCTCTCCCTACTCTCTACTCCCCCTCTCTCTCTCTCTACTCTCTCTTTCTCTCTCTCCCCCACCCCTCTGCTCTCTCTCTCTCTCTCTCTCTCTCTCTCTACTCTCTCTGCTTTATCTCTCTCTCTCTCTCTCTCTCTCTCTCTCTCTCTCTCGTAATGAATATGTAAATATATGTATATATATATATATGTAGAAATATAAATATATATATATATATATATATATATATATATATATATATCTCTCTCTCTCTCTCTCTCTCTCTCTCTCTCTCTCTCTCTATCGATTGGAAACGTTCACAGCGGAGACCTATTTCAGATATCGGTAGCTATCTATTGGTATCATTATCATTGTTTTCTTAAGCTTAATGGTAATCCTGCAGTATCTGGGTGTAGCAATTCAAGCATCAAGGCTCGAGCAGCGGAGGGTCACGCTCTGACGCCTATAGTGTACACGAAACACATTTGTTTTAATCTCTACTGTGTAGTTATTTGGTAACGACGCTTGAATACACGGGAGTAGTCCACACGTGACATACAGGACGATGACGTCACTGTTGCAGCACCATCGTGGTGTACGTTAATGTTCACCGTCATGTACTTGGTCATCAACACTTGATCACGTGATGTATCATGTGACCAGATCATGTGATCACACCCATCTGTAGCATCGCACCCGTCTGTGATGTAAATCTATCTGTGATATCCATAAATATGATACACAAATCACTGCTGTGTTATGTTCTTATTTTCTTGTGAGCGGTATATATACAGTATATACTACTCTACAGTATCCATGGTGCGGTGGATAGTTCACGCTGGGATTGATGGAATATTGATGGCAGTTGTGTTACTCATCATTCACGCACTGACTCACTCACTCTTTAACTCGGTACCCCGCAGATTTATGGTGAACAACTCATCGAGTTGATCTGTTCCCCGTTCCTCAAAGCGATCGTACCGCTAAGACGACCGTAACTCCCTTACTTTAACATAGAGTTACGACTGTCGTAGCACCACGATCGCGACGGGCCAGGGATGGCGACCGTAACTCCCTTACTTTAACATAGACTACGGCAGTCGTAGCACTACGATCGCTTTGAGGAACGGGGCCAGGGAAGGCGATCGTAACTCCCTTACTTTAACATAGACTTACGGCAGTCGTAGCACTACGATCGCTTTGAGGAACGGGGCCAGGGAAGGCGATCGTAACTCCCTTACTTTAACATAGACTTGCGACAGTCGTAGCACTACGATCGCTTTGAGGAACGGGGCCAGGAAGGCGATCGTAACTCCCTTACTTTAACATAGACTTACGACAGTCGTAGCACTACTGCATTCTGAAACGGGGCCCTATACTCCTGTCTGACTCAGGTAAGACTGCGCATCTCTGTACAGTTGCGTACCCTTGCCGTATCAGAAACCTGCGATCAAGGGTTCGAAATGAAAGTTGAAAAGGAGCCCCAGTGATGTGAACAAATTAGACTTACTTCATTTCGGGTTAGAGCATAATGCATTTTATGCTGAGCGGAAAGGAAAATAAAAATATCTTCATCGTGGACGCGGGGACAAGCTACAGTGCATGCTACAGTGCACAGTGGTTAGCAAGGTCTTGCTTTAACGTTCTCTGTGGAGGTCACGACCTACGACCTACGACCTCCTATACTAGCATACTTTGTATTAAACTGTAAACTTGCATTCAACAAGCCCTCATGCACATTGACCCGTGAAGGTCCCGGGTTAGAATTGGTCTTCAGTAACCCATGCTTGTCGTAAGAGGCGACTAACGGGCTCGGGTGGTCAGGCTCGCTGACTTGGTTGACACATGTCATCGGTTCCCAATTGCGCAGATCGATGCTCATGCTGTTGATCACTGGATTGTCTGGTCCAGACTCGATTATTTACAGACCGCCGCCATAAAGCTGGAATATTGCTGAGTGCGGCGTAAAACTAAACTCACTCACTCACTCATGCACATGCGCACGCACACAGTGATAAAAAGATCCTTGAGAGCGTTCGTTGATTATTGGCCCCGTGAAGCTTACACCGGTAGATCCTTCGACAAGACGCAAAAACCACGTGCACCAGACACAAGTCTGCAACACATTCCTAAATCTAAAGTCTAGATCTTCCACGGGTTCTGAATCCTTCGTCTCACTTGTAGCTATCACAAGTAGATAGTTTCAGAGTCTAAGTGTTCGTCTAAACGGTTTGAATACTCATCTTCAGGCTACAGTGACAGTACAAGGGCCTCTACTGCGTCTAACGCAGGGCCACCACAGACACCTCAGGCATCTCTATTGAATTCCACTTCTTTTGATCTCCCCGTGGTGTTTGTGAAAACCCAGCGACTGTAGTATGGTTTCTGTGAAGATTAAACCAACTCCTTACCACATCGGGCTAGATTTCAGACAAACATCAACAAACCCGAGCTCAACGCTGTAGCAGATTCACTTGCCACAGGGTGTAGATTACCGTCAGAAATATAACACACGTCAACGAATACCTCTACTAATTAGCACCGATGACTCCACAAACCCGAGTTATCTCCCCTCACAGCTGTGAAAACCCTAACACCTGGCACAAGCTTCCAGGCAGTTCCTAAGAATCTGGTATCAAAACACACGGGGTATACCGCCGATTTGACCTTGAACTCTTTTTAAATGAACCAATGACGTCATCAAGAAACGGACTCTTTTTATCCAACGAAAACGAGATCAAAGACTCCTCTTTTCTCCAAGTAGCTTCCACTTAAATGTGGTTTACGACGCTGAAAATAAATTGTTTGTTTATTGTATTAAGATTCTATTATCTCTGTGCAAAGCTGCGGGGATTACGACTCAAATGGGTAAAATCATGGCGGCAATAAAGTTGTCAGCCATTTTATACATCTGTAACGGCTTCAAGAGGCATACGTTGCGTTCATAACGACCATGTGCATGGCGAGAAAAGCACACCTTTGTATTCCTCCGCGAATCTGGCGGAAGAAATGTGGAACAATTTGGCACGCAAAACAAACAGACGCTATTTAATGGCATAATGGATAAAATAACACCGAACTAATTAAATGCGTTGTTTTTTATTAAACATTTTGGTTGATATATTTCTCCCTCTGCATGTCTTAAGTTTGAGAGTCGGCTTACAGCACTTACTGTCAATTATAGCGCATGGTTGTATACACACTGTTGTGTTCACTGATTGAATGACCTCTTGACCCAAGGGCCCAAGTTACCCCAGAGCCGGGTTTCCTTCCCAACCGTCCCTTCGTGGGTAAAGCGTTCGCTATGTACGTCCAAGGATTTCCAACATGGACCACTCACTCACACCCTTACTCACTCACTCAGTGATATCATCAGATGATACTTCTACTTGATCATGAGTGAGAGTGCTGCTCATTCAAGGGATAAAACTAGATCACAGTCAGTATATTGTG